GAGGCACAGAATGTGCACGGGGTCCAGGGCGCTGCTGTCCTCTGGCTGCGAGGTGAGGGCCTGCAGTTTGGGAGTCTTAGGGAGGAGTGAGGTGGGTGTGAGGAAGGATGAAGTCCAGTGACTGGTGCTGGGGGCCGGGGTATGACATGATATTCTACTATGCTGGGGACCAGGTTCTGTGACTGGGGTCGTGTGGTCTGAGGCCAGCATGACCTGCCTCAGGGACGGGAGCACGGGTAAATGGCTGCGTGCTCTCTGGCTGTGTTGAGAAAGCCCCCACTCACAGCTTCCTGAGGCCAGATAGTATCTGGTAGAGATGGTATACAAAATACAGGCATGCAGGTGTAAGACAGGACCATAGCTGGTTCCCTTTAAAATGCTGAACTTAAGCCGGGCGTGGTGACGCACACCTGCAATCCCAGCACTCAGGAGACTGAGGCAGGATGATTGCCACGAGTTCCAGGCCAGCCTGGGCTATACAGAGAGAACGTCTCAAAAAAATAAAAAATAAAAAAATAAAATCCTAAACTTAATCCCCATCTTATTAGCCCATGCTTACTGCAGTCACTGTTCCAAAACCGCCCCCACTACCCCGTACTCCTCCCTGCGTAATACAAATGGGCCTCCGAGTGCCCACAGAGCCAGGACACTAGAGGCAAGCTCCTCCCTGCCGCCCTTGTCCCTTGAATACTGTCTTTTGTTTTTCTTTATTCCCTGCCATTCTCCCCACAGGTATCTGGGGGTCTGATTAGCCCCCAAGTGGGGCTGGGGCTGGGGCTGGGGCTGGACAGGCAGAGGGGTCTGGGCCGTGTTCTTTGCTGTTTGGAGGACACAGCGAGGGTCGTAGGGACAGCGCGGGGGGTGGGGGGTGGGCGGGGGCACTCACTCTAATCCTGCCATCTGCAGAGAAGCCAGAGCTCGGGAAGGGATTCCTGGTGGGCATCTCAGCGGGAGCAGGCCTCGCTCTGCTGCTCTCCATGTGCACCTGCCTTGTCTTCTCCAGGTGAGTGTGGGGCCAGGGATGGAGGGCGGTGTGGGGGAGGCGTGCAGCCCCTGGGTCCCCACACAGGCGGGCTGGGAGACCGTGCACGTGCCCAGTGGATCGGAGCAGGGGTCACAGACAGTAATGATTTGGGGGATCATTAAGCCCCCGACACCGCGGGCTTCCCGGTGTCTGCCGTCTCCGGCCTCGGTGGGCCTTGCAGTGTGGATGGGTAAGCTGGCAACAGCAGCCCCACCGTGAGCTCCGAGGCGGGGGTGGTGAAAGCTGCTGCCCTCCCTCCTCAGCACTCAGACCCACAGGAAGGAAAACACCAGGACAGTGGCCTCCCAGAAGGACACAGCGTGCACCTCGTGTCCCGAGTGTAAGGTGAGTGAAGCGCCCTCCACCCCGCTCCATCCACGGGGCTCCCACGTGCTCATTCCCCGGGTGGCTGTGGCCAGGATGCTTGGTCTGGCTTCCACACTCCGGCAGCCCAGACAGGCTTTGGTTCTTGTGTCCCCACCGCGCAGGACCCGTGTAGCGGCCAGAGCCACCCCCTCAGCTGAGCTCCTTCTCCAGCCCCGTCAAGGCCCCCAGGCCCGTCCACCATCTGTCTGGCCCCTCCCACTACTGGCCCCTCATTTCTCTCTGCACCCCTGGCCTCCTATCCTTCTCGTTTCTACCCTGAAACAGAGGAGCCCAGAGATCCCCCAAGTCATTACCGACTGCTGCAGACCATGGGGATCTGTGGGACCCCTGTCACTCAGACACCAGCTTTGGGTTCACACAGAATTCACTGCAGCCGTGGTCACCATGGGTACAGCTCACCTCTGTGAGAAGATGCAGATAAAGCGTGGCGTGGTGGCGCACACATGTAACCCCAACCAGCACTTTGGGAGGCTGAGGCAGGAGGATTATAAGTTTTGAGCCCAGCTGGGCAATTAATAAATACCTTGTCTCAAAAATTTAAAAAAAAAATTTAAGAAGGGGTGGGGATGTAGCTCAGTATGAGGGCTGTGGGTTCAAAAGAGTACATAAAAGTCGGACAAGGGAAGAGGGTCTGCAGGGAGCAGGCACGAGCTCGGGCTCCGCCCCGCCCCGCAGAGTGACGCAGAGAGCGCTCAGTGCTCTCAGCACAGCGTGACAACCCGCAGAGAGCGCTGCCCACAGGGAAGCCCCTCGGGCCTGCTGTCAGGGTTCTATTGGTGGCCCCTCACGGCAACGGTGTGCACACACGTGGCTGACCTTAGTCGCCTGGTCTCCAGATTCTCCGCAGTGGAAACTGATGCCACGTGGCCCAAGGTGGTCACCACAAATGACACTGCTGTCCTAG